AAGAACGCTGACACCATCGCCTCCGTTATGGACATACTAAAAACCGATGATAACTGCATCGCCACCGCCGGCGACGGACATCAATTTCTCGTTAGAGGACTACCAGTGACCAGCAAGACACTCAAAAACGCCCATGTTGGATAGACTTGACTCGCGCGCGGGTCATGCTCAAGTCTCACCGGTCAAGTCCTACCTGTGTTCACTGTCGTCATGTCCTACCTGTGTTTGTTCACTGTCGTCATGACATGACGACAGTGACATGACACGTCAATGTCGTCATGTCACGTCAATGTCGTCATGTCACGTCAATGTCGACTATATCCGCCACAAAGGAATGAATTTTTTGTCTACGTATTGGCAACCCACGATTGTGCCTTGCACTATGCTGTCCCACGGTGCTGCAGCCTCACGGTGCTGCAGCCTCACGATTCGACGGCCAAGAAGCCTTCCTTAACATCTCGCGAGAGGTCGTTAAAGACTTCTTGGGAGACAGGTGGCTCCCCACGGACCGCCCGTTTCATGTTGAACACATGCCACTCGCTGCGCATGTGCTTCTGGATGGTCAGGTTCAAATCTTGGAGGTAGTCGATTTCGCAAGTACGGCACCAGGTTGCAGACGTGGGCTCGTTCGGTGTCCGGGGTTTGGGCTCGGTCGGGGGCTCCACGACTTCCGCCAGTGCTTCCGCGGCAGCCTTTTTCGACTTCTCCTTCTCCTTGCGCTGACGACTCAGCAGCTTTTTGGCCCGCGTCCGTTCGTGGTGGACTGCAGCCCGTCGGTCTAAGAACTGCTCCAGGTCCACATCGTCTTCGCCTTCTTCCTCCTCCTCATCAATGGCTGCACTAGCAGAGTCCGTCTTCTTATGTTCATTTTGCACGTCTTGTGAGTTGGGGTTCGCCATGTCCTCGGGACTGAGTGACTCGTCGTCCTCGCTGTCCGAGGCCTCGAGAGCGCCGAACGTGGTGAACGTTTGTTTGGTAGAGTCCTTGAAGACGGGTGCGGGAGTTTCGTCTGAGTCGTCTTCTTCGGATTCAGAGCTTTCGGATTCAGAGCTGGGTTCTTCCTCACTGCTTGGCTCATGAGGTTTGCTTCGAAGTTCATGAATGGGGATGGCGGTTCTCTTGTCGAGAACGATAAAGGGGCATTGTTTATTGTGAGCGTAAGTCTCAACGGCGGCGAGATCGCTTGGTGCGACGCAGAAGACCAGGTTGTTGTCGTTCTGTTGAATAGCGAAGGCGCCAATCGGTTCCAAGAGTTCGGTGGTAGTCTGTTTGGCGTGTGGAGTGTGCAGCGAGATTTTAGTGGCTACTATGCCCAAGTCTTCGGGGAATGCCCGCGCCAGCTTCTCCGCTAATCGACTTGCGTAAGCCTTAGGAGGCAGGTGCTTTTTAGTCTTCGGCACACACCCTATCTTCTTCGCGCAAGATTCAACTGTTTCCGCAGACAGGGCCAAAGTCGCCTTCAAAGGCAACAGACGAGGCGCAGTTAATACGTACACCTCCTTCTGGAACTGCTGCTGCTGAACCATACGCTCACGGGTACTCAATTGAATCGTACCTTGTGCCAAAATCTGCTTAACACAAGCGTAAAAGTCACTTGTCCCAAAACTTCCTATCAACTCCGCATCACGCGCAAACTGACCTTTACCCACACAACTAAATATCTTGTCACTCTGCAACACCTCACTCAGGTCTGTCTCCTTCCCCTGACGCCAGTCCTTCACCTTGTTCGGGTAGCATGCCAACTCAAACGTGTTTGGCCCATCACGCAAACGAACTATCGATACATTCGTCAAACGAATTTGGTTCTTCGGCTGGTTAATTCTACTCATATCCTACTCCTATCTCTCCTACTGTTCTCTCTCCTAATGTTCTCTCTGCTAATG